GAGGATAGGCGTCTGTACCTCGAGGAAGTCATCCTCGAGGAAGTGGGTGCGAATGTGTTGCATGAGGTGGGACTTGAGGCGGAGGGTATCAGCAACCTCGGGGTTCACGAGCATGTCGACATGCCGCTTCTGCGACTTGGTCTCGGGGTCGGTAAGGGACTCGGGAATCTGTTCGAGGGCAGGCGAGAGGAGCTCGGGCAGAATGTGAGCCTCGAGAATTCGCTCGCCTGTACCGCTCCGAGCCGGCTTGCCGGTAATAGCTACGACGGTTAGGAACGTGACTGTTGACATGCAATCTTCATGCATCCTTCATGGTAATATAGCGGCTTACAGATGTGGTCACCCTTTTCAATCATGCGACCGAACAGTTTAAAAGCGTCCAACAGCATGGGTGGCTTCATGTTCTTGAAGTTGATCATGCCCTGGATCGTCTTCCTGTCGTTGACCATAGTGACGAAGATGAGCTTGTTACCGTGCTTACGAATCGACTGTATGCGACCTTGTCCCCCATCAGCACAAGCGCCGGCCGCGTCTCTGAGACAGATGATGAAAGAGCGTACCGTCAAGCGTCACGTATTTGGAAGAGTCAGGCGGGTCCTGGTTGAGCCAGTTTGTTCTGAATTTTGCGATGGACATGCGGCCCTCGCGCGACTTGAGCCGCGGATGTGTCTGGCTAAACAGCTCCTTCTCGCCCGCCTCCCCCAGCGTTTTCTGACGCATCTTCTTAAATTCTGTATCCCGATCCTCAGTCGCCTCCGCACTTGCGGCGCGGTCGCGTTCGTCGCGGAAGAGTCTGCTCGTGAAGCTCGACGACCTAGTGTGAAATGGTCGCGCGACCGCCGCCGGGGCGGCGAGCACCCGAATCGAGGGTCTACACACCCTCAGGCACTGAGCTGTGATCATCGCGTCTGAACAGCTTGTTAGCTTGCGCGTCAAGAAGCATAAAGCCAGACAAGAATGATGCAGCGAGTTTCGGTGTCAGATATGTGGGCAGTTATGCAGCACGTCACAGCAAGCTGTGTCAGACGCAGCGGTTCTAAGGCATAGCGGATCATCATGAAAGAGGGGGAAGGGAGATGTCGACGAATCGGAGGTGGGAGGGGGGGGCTGGCTTACCATCTGGAGGTTTGGTGATAATAAAGTGTTCACAGACATGCGGGAACCAAAATTTCGTCGTCAGTTTTACTGACGCGAAACCGCTTATCGTGCAGCTTATCGCGCTTATGGTCGGCTAAATACCGTATCTTTGGTTCGCGGCGAGCTATCGCGCTGATAAGATAGAGCTAAAATCTCGACGACATTTGACGACCAGGAGCCTTCCGAGCTACAGCCTGGCACTCGCATCAACCCCCTGGCATCAACAATACCATCGATTCGCACACGCAATCCAGAACAAACACCCTCCGTTCTCCACCCCACAACAACTCTCAGTCAGAATGTCTTTCCTCGGTATGGGCGGTCGCCCCAAGCCTACCTCGGAGGAGAAGGTCGCCATGGCCGAGTCCGAGATGCGCCTCCTCGCCGACATGCACAACCGGTTAGCCGCACGCCTACTTTCATCTTCGCGAACCCACTGACTGACCTGAACTAGCCTGACCAAGGCCTGCCAGACCAAGTGCCTGCCTGATAACCGCGAAGCCGAACTCAACAAGGGCGAGTCCGTCTGCCTCGACCGCTGTGCCGCCAAGTTCTTCGAGGCGCACATGAAGGCCTCTGAGGTCATGCAGGCTGAGAGCCAGAAGAGGGGCGGCATGGGCGGTGGTATGTTCTAAGAGGATTCGAACCGAGCATGAAAGGGGGGAGGAAGCAGGCGATTCAGCGAGCTGTTTGCAAGACGGCGCTTTGTAACAAGTCAACGAGATGGGGAGAGGGCGGACGAAAGTGTGACGATAATGGGCGTCGGACATGGGACTTGCGGGTTCTTGGGGTTTATATGCCTTGCATCTCGGACGGAAGCATATGGATAGCGGCTTCGTGTATAACAATCGGACCGAAAGCGGTCTGCCAAGATCAACGTTCAACTCTAATGATGCGGTTGGTGTTTCTTTGTTGGGCAATTCGACCAGAGAGCAATTGGCTACTAGTGATGAGTGTGGTTGAAAAACGCCCAACGGACGACCAGTGAGAAGGCTGCAACACATTGAGATCAGGTGGGCAATTGGACAGGAACCCATCCAGACAGCGAGGACAGATGGGGGAACCCCCTGTACTAGAGCCAGAACTTGCTCATTGTGAGTGCCAGAATAGTCTGCCCGGCAGTATGTGTCGATTCAGACGGCGGGTATCACAGTCTCCAAGACATGATGGGGTTCCCTCGGCCAACAAGTCTCTAATATCTCGCAGTTCAAAAGCATCAAACTGTGTGTAACACATGATTTCATGATAGCACGCGCCTCCTCCTACTTTGGCCTGGCGTTAGAATATGTCATGGGTTCCATGGGAGGTGACTGTGGCTTTGAGTTGAAGTAATGACAATATGGCCCATTCTGCGCTGGGACTTAGACCAGAGGACACATGTTGGCGCGAGTGAATAGGTGATAGCCGTGAAGAAGGAATGATCTGAAATATTATGCGGTTGGATCGTGGTCATGCTGAGTGCCTCTTGCTCAGTTCAGGCGAGGTTGCCACGCTTTCATCCCTGCCAGCACAAACTAAAACAGCAGAAACGATACTAGCAGATGTCATTCGGCCCGCACACAGAGAGGCCGAAAGATGAAGAAAAAACCTATGAATGACATTTCCCATCGCCTCAATCTGGCCAAGGCACTACGCATATGATGGTGCGACAGGCGGTATGCGCCGAGAGACGGACGCCTCTAAAGAGGTTGGTCAACGGCGGGAAGATCGGAGAGACGGAGATACGGAGAAATACTCCACTTTTCCGTCTCGATGATTTTTCCCGACTGACACGGGCGACACAGTGCGCCGCACTCCAATAAGCCTCTTCCACCAACATGGAGCTGTAGTTTCGAGGCTCGTGACCTAACATCAAATATAAGAGCAAATGGCTTCCTGCGCTTCCTGCGCTTCCTGCAAGCCAGTCCTCGCTAAATACCATGCCCCAGTATGACGACACCTGATAAGCAGCCCCTTCGCCCCGTCATGTGCCGTACGCCTGCATGCAGGTTCTGACGCCGGGATCCAAGGAGCCTAGGAGAATAGATACAGTAGACGAATGAGAGGTGCACGGTACGCCGCAACAGCGGGCCGCGCCCCGCATGTTATTTGCCCCTAACCCCACCTGGACGCCGGCGGTTCGCCCATGATCCGCGAAAAGCGGTGTTGGGCGATGGGTGAGCGGTCGTACCGTCCGGGTGGTCCCCTCCCGCCTTCGCCCTCGTTTATAAATCCATGGGGCATCCTTCGCTTCAAAGAGTTTCGACTCTTACACAACCTTCGGCGGCCTCAATTCGGGTTTGCAGGATACCACACACTGCTCGGAGATCATGCCTGCCTCGGTCCTCAAAGATGAGTCCAAGGCGTTTCCCTACTGGCAGTTGACCGTGCTGGGTGAGTCGTTTTCAATCCCCTTCTCCCCCGCTGGTCTTATTCACTTTTGGCCTTCCACCTCTCCCGTGGCAGCCGCTGGCACACGCGCCGACCAACCACCAGCGGATTGTGTACTCTTGCTGACTTGGCGACAGCCTTTGTGCCGGTTCTCGGAACCCATCGCCTTCAGTTCCATCTTGTCCTACTCCTATGTTATGACCATCGACCTTCTCGGTGGTACGGAAGAGGACGACAAAGATGCCTCATTTTACAGCGGCCTCCTCGTCTCAGCTTATGCCGTGGCTGAAGCCCTGACATCTGTCGGCTGGGGTACGCTGTCTGATCACTATGGCCGTAAACCGGTCGTCCTCATAGGCCTGGGAGGCGTCGCTCTCTCGAGCCTTATTTTTGGGTTCTCCCAGAAGTACTGGGTTGCTCTGCTGGCCAGGTTTATTGGTGGCGCTTTGAACGGAAACGTCAGTGTCATGCAAACTATGGTTGCAGAAATGGTCAAGGTTCCGGAACACGAACGTGAGTCTTGCAGGTCATCGAAAGGGCATGAACGTACAGCACTGACTTTATCGTGCAGCGGCGGCATACGCAGTTCAGCCGTTCGTGTGGACGTTGGGTAGCATCGTTGGTGCGGCCTTGGGAGGATTCCTGGCTCAGCCCGCGAAATCTTACCCTCACTTGTTCCCCGAAGATGGTCTCTTTGGGAGATATCCATATCTGCTTCCCAACCTCTTGGCCGTGCTTGTGGTCGTCCTGGCGATTATTCAGGGCCTGATCTTCCTGGATGAGACCAACCCACGCGCCAAGTATCTCGCTGAGCAGAAGAAGTTGAAGCAACAGCAGAAGACGAATGGTCACAATGGCCATACTGAGACGTCGCCGCTCCTGCAGGAGAGCACATCGGATGCCCCTATCAAACGACCATCCGTCGACGGTCCCAGGCCGTTCTTCGTCGAGGAGAGCCTTCCGGCACCGGGCGTCCAGACCTTCGATCTCAGGCGGAGCTCCTTTGGAACGATGCATGAGATTGATGTACCTCACAACCGAGATGGCCCATCCGAACGCACCCAGTCGCAGGAGCCAGAAATGCACTACGAAGGCGCCGTGTGGACTCGACCCATCGTCATGCTGATCGTCTCTCTCGTCCTCATTTCCTACCACCAAATGGCTGCCGGCGCGCTGTTGCCTATTCACCTGCTGGCCAAGCCCCTGAAGCCCCACGGCCAGCTCGACTTGATCGGCGGTTTCGGCTACAGCCTCCCTGACGTCGGCGTCTATCTCATGGTGAACGGCATCCTCAGCCTCGGCGTCCAGGCCTTCATCTTCCCCCTCTTTGTGAGCAAAGTCGGCGTCTGGCGCTCCTTCATCATTGTCGTGATTCTCTACCCCACCGCCTATCTGGTGATGCCCTTCCTCTCCGCTGTCCCCAATCTCACCTCTGCAGGTATCATCGGATCGCTCCTCCTACAGGCCTTCTTCGGCATCATCTCCGTGCCTGCGGCCCTCATCCTGCTTAAGGATGCCACACCCTCGCCCCTCGTACTGGGCCGCGTCAACGGCCTCGCCATGAGCGCCTGCTGCGCCGCAAGGACGGTGTCTCCGCCCATGGTCGGTCTCTTGTACAGTGCCGGCGGCTCGGCCGTCGCGTGGTTCAGCTGCGCCCTGGTCGGCGTTCTGGGCGCTCTGCAGCTCTTCTGGATCCCGCGGAAGGAAATCCCGCACGTGTCCATCGAGAGGCCGACCATAGTCACGCGAGATGATGATGATGATGCTACCGTTGTGCAGGATGGCGAACCTTAGTTGATCTGGTACCATCTTCTCGCGCACCTTTTCCCGCTTTGCTTCACTTGACACTCATTCTTCCCCATCCCCGACTTCGCGATCACATTGATTTGTTCAAGGCGTTTCATTGACATTCCACCTCAATCACATGCATAGTTGAGCTGGTCACGATGGGTAACAGGGTATCATCATAATACAAAACAAAACTCGGGGATGCCGGGATGCTCCTGCAATGGTTCATAAGCCAACATTCTATGAGGATGCTTGACGAAGATGCCCACAAACGACCAAGACAGTGACGTGTTGTCTGGCTTCCGCCCATGTGGATTCCTAATCTGAGAACCGACCCTCTCAAGTTCTCTGGGCGCTTCTTGACACTGGCTCGTCCCTAAATAAGGCCGAGAAGAGGAGGCATCGTTAGCAGCTCAATTCCGGGATGTTGCGAGTGTTGTCATGCCGTTGGGACACACCTGTACTCTCCTTTGTGATACAGTGCAGCCAGATAGAGTTGGAGTGGGCCTAGTTTCTGTCTCGGATGCTGTTAATTACGTTCAGGCACACCGTGACATCGGACACAAATCGGGCGGGACCTTTTGGCATATGCCGGCAACGTTTGCCTCGTTTAGCAGAGACAGCATCTCCTGGCTCGAGACTGTACTGCATTGTTGGTTCGGTGGCAGTGAGGAGTTATCTACCTTACGCAAGGTAGTCGGAGGAAAGAAGCATATGCAACCTTGACCCCCCGCTATCTTTGCATCTGCATGACTTCTCTCTCTCTCACAGAGGATTGCTGTGCGGAACACTAGTGAGCTATTGCGCCTTTCCGTCTCATATAAAGGCTCATGATGTCGGTATAATGCCACATCGTCGTCAACACACCCGGGCAGGCATCCTCCCTTGGTTGTTGTCTGGTCTAAGCGACGATGGCTAAGGCAGGTAACGTTGGGCTGGAGCGAATTGAGTCGATCAAAGAGTGACCAGCATCCGCGACACTGAGTATCTTCAGATGCGAGCCTGCAGGATCAGGTCGCGTCCTGTTCGAGCTTGTTCATCGTGCAGGTGCCACCTGAATAGCATGACCTGGTCCTTGATGGTGGGTTGCAGATCCAACCTTCTAGACCACCACCAGAGTCCTGATGATGTCTTTGCGCGTCGGGTTGTGGTGGGCTGTACGTCACCGGAAGATCGACCTTGATAGTGCAAGCACAAAAGTTTAGGTGTGCATTGAGGTCCCTGCAGTCCATGGAATTAAGCGACTAGAGCGAGGCGGTGCTATTCTTGGGTGTCAGGGTGCCTGGCTGTCCACGAACTAGTGATGCACAGCCCTACGGCAGTCAAGGAGGCTGGGGTAGTGGCTTCTGATTGCATTGTGAGTTGTTCTTTGATGGATAGCACCGCACCAGCTTGGGTGGGGTGCACTGATGTCTGAGATGCGACGTGGCTCTGACGGTGCAGAATTCCTGTGGTCGCTTGGCAACATGATTCGGGCCTGGACAAGCTGACGAGCGCAGTCGAGCAGACAAAGAGATGTCTGATACACAAAGTAGGTTTTTTATTGCAGCGTTCCATCACGTACCTGGTCCGAGTCGGAACAGATGCGAGAACCGGTCTTTCCCTATCGAGTTCTTCACAAGGAAATATCCACAAGGAAGGACTCAAATGACACACACAAACCCAGGGTTTTGCGGTGTCGGTCTGTCGTCTCAGCAAATGGATGGTCGCTAGACTCGACATGTTGCTTGGATCGCAAGCTGGTATTGAAGGCGGCAGTTCCCCGAGCAATACGAGACGGTGGAAACGTGAGAGAAGAAAATTCCCACTGGTCTGGGCGAGCTGCACAAGGTGGGTGGGCGGGCATGCCAGGCTGCGGCAGGCTCACCCCACCACCCCCTGGCCCTTCCCTGTTCTGGCCCTTGCCCCTCAACCTTTCTTCACCTAACGCTGGATTGGCGGCAGAGGCCGGGCTAAATTGCCCCCAAGGCCCACACGACCCCCAGGCCAGGCCTTCCCTCCTGGCTCGTTCTGGCCTCGCATCCCTTTTTCACCTGCCTGTCTGTCGCCTGCCACTGCCCGTCCACTCCTGCCGCTCCTCACTCCCCTCCCTCAAAGCCGTAACCCGTCACAGACCCCAAACTACTCGGGGCTCCCTTGTGTTTCAGCCGTACGACGCTTCACCTTTCTCATCCTCCCACCAACATCAACAGTGCGTTCTTTCCATCGACAACGACGACGCCGCAACGCCCCGACGGCGATTTCATTCGACAAAACCACAAAGGGGATTTTTCATTCCGACAAGAGAATCTGTACACCTCCACGCTCGCTTTCCCGACTTTTCGTCATTGCCTCTGCAACCGACGCCTCGATTGCCCGAATCAGCTGCCATTCCATTCTTCAGCCTAACCGGGCAACAACCCCATCTTCATCTCGCCGCGACTCCTACGAGGAGTCGTTCAACACCGCCACCGTGGCTCAGAGACTAGAATCTCGTCACTCGCTGCTGGGGAGCGACCCAACGCACGCAGGGTACGAGCAGCAATTTGATCAACCCCAGTACGACCAACACTACCAGCCATCGTCATACCCACAGTCCGCTCTCGCCCAACAGCCAGCCTATGCTCCGCAGCAGCCTGTCTACCATCAACCGCCACACTCCATGCCGGCCGCATCTATCCCACCTCCGCAACCCACGTTCAACCAGGACTACAACCAAGGCTACGCCTACCGCGAAGGACTCGCACCCTCGACAATGAACGGCTCAAGCCCCAAAAGCACCAAGGGCGGTTGGTTCTCTTTCATGTCGTCGAAATGGCCCCGAGCCTTCTTCCTCGTCACTCTGCTGCAGGCCATCATCTGTTTGGTCTTTGAAGCGTATGTGTCCCACTGATTATCCCTCACCCGGCCTTCTTTGTTGACAGTGTATTCTAGATACGTCTTCGCAACCTTTCAGTTCAGCCTCACCAGTGACGACAATCCTGCCACCGAATCCCAGCGCCGTACCATCCCAACGTTCCTGGCTCTCTTCATTTTCGGTTTCCTCTACGAGCTCGTTCTCGTTTGGGATGCCCTCCGCGCCAAGAACACTATTCAGATCATTGGAGTCTGCATTGCCAACCTCGCCCTAATGGTGTACACGGCCATCCAGATTGAACAGATTCAGATCGCCGTCGAAGAGCTGCGTGTCGGCGGCGGCCTGAGGATTGGCCACGAGAGCGTCTGGGAGGACATCAGGCCCTACCTTGTCGCCATCCCCTGCATCTTCTCTCTCGGCACCGTTCTTATGGGCTTTGTCGCCTGGAAGCTGTACCAGGTGTTCGCCTGGGATATCCTGAAGACCATCGGCGCCGACTATCGCATGAAGCAACGCTTCCTCTACTACCAGATCTACATTGCGCTCCTGAAGTTTGATTTCTTCTTCTTCCTCGGGTTCACTGTCCAGTTCCTTGTCATCGTCGGCGACATTGAAATCGTCGAATACGCCCTGACCGCCGCCGCTATTCCTGTCACCGTTGCGATCCTCATCAGCGCTGCCTACTTCACCCGCCGCGAGAACAAGCCCGGCATGATCGCTGTCATTGTCCTCTACCTCGGTGCCCTCAGCTACTTTGTCTTTAAACTCGTCCGCATCTACCAGCCCGGCTACCAGCAACACTACATGAACGTTCGCAAGTCCCTGACTACTTTCACCGTTATCACTATCCTCCTCATCATCCTGACCATTGCCAACGCTATCATCTGCATGAACAACTTTGGTGCTGGCCTGAAGACTCATCTGCTCAAGTCGCGTGAGGCTGAGAAGGCTACTGACCTCAACTCTGTCAGCATGCAAGATGTCAAGCCCCAGATGGCGAGCAGGATGACCATTGACTAGAGGATGGATCGGCTGGACTATTCCATCTTGCGCACAGAGAATACTCAGTCAAAACTACAAAACAACAAAACCCCCGTATAAAGAAACGATTAACGAAACACCATTCGCCCGCCCGCCCTGGCTCGATGCTCAGGGTGTGGCTTGGACGTGGTTTAGAGAGCTGCATACTCAACACAGCTTCATTGTTCTCCTTGAGATTCCCCACTATCATCTAACCGATCGATGATCTATTGTCACCCTTTGTCCGCATTGTGCCTTTTTTTTACTCGCAGACTCGACATTTTCCTTTTTAGTCTACCAGGTCATACTTGGCGTTGGCAGCGCCTCACACATCACATTCCCTTGACTCCAATGCTATGGGAGTGGGAAGAGGAGGACGGCGTTCTGGTTCGATTGGATTTCACTTCTACGTATAGTTTGTGCGTGTGCCACAGCTAGGATGAAGAATTGAAATTATGGAAATTGTATATTCACACGTTGACCCAGTGTCCCGGCAACCTGTCATGTGATGGACGAGGCTGGAACCTGCGCCCCTCGGCAAGGTTCACTCATTTCCATACCGACAAAAGTTGGCTATGCGGCACCTTATTCTATCCAGCTTCTGTAGAGCTGCACTGCAGTTTCAGTATTGGACCGGAGTACGCATGCTCGCTTCCAGCTTCGTGGTAGGACTTCATTGCGTTGTGCATGTGAATATGCAGAAATACTGATTAGCTTCGTGACAATTTACAATTCTTGCCTAAGTGCTTGCTAGACATGCTGGACAACTTCATCTCGATGGAGTGAAGCATTCACAGGAGACACTGTCGTCCCATATCATTCTGGTTATTCCCGTCCACGCTTGAGGCGTTTGTTGAGCATCGTGTAAAGGCGAAAACTTCCCCACGATCCGGCCTTCCCACACTACAAGTCCCCATTGACGGCTCACTGGACATAATCTGAGACGTGTACAAGAACCTCACCTACCGTCTAGCCGGTGGTGGTAGGCTCGGCCGAACCAGGAGGCCTCCGAGGAGGAGAAGGCGAGTTTCTTGGCCACCAGTGTAGACCCATCGTCGAAGAGGCATCCACAGCCACGGCGAGGGTCTACACGGGTGGCTCGGGTAAAGGTATACCGCTGCGCGGAACGAGAGGCAATGACGGACGGTGTGCGTTCTCGGCCAGCGGCGACGAACTCGCAGGCGCTAGAATATCCGCGAGAGGAAGCGGCGACCATCCCAGGTCCGCCCTCATCGCGGCCCGCGCGTTCTGACGATCTGCCATGTCTTGCAAGGGTGCGTTCAGCGGCTCGGCCCATGTGCCATAGGATACCGGAGATTCTGTTGGGACAGGTTCAGGCGATTCTACCAAGCCGGATTCCGGCGCCTTGACGTGAAGGCCGTCTTCCTAAAGCGAGATCTCACGGGCGTCGCGGATGTGGCCCTCGGAGGGACAGTAGGGGCACTTGAAGCGGGAGCCCTTGGCCAGGCGGTGGAGGCTCTCCTTACAGATGACGTGGCCGCAGGGGAGAAGCATAGGCGGGTTCTGTTCCGTGCTCTGTTCTTTGGAGACGGGACAGACAAAGATGGGGTGGTAGACCATGGACCGGGGGAGAGGCGTCTCGAAAGCGAGCTCGTTCTCCGTCGTCCACTCGGTGCGGCTGGCCATGACGTAGTTTGTGTACTTGAGCAACTGAGGGAGGGCGATGGAGCCGGCTGTCGCTGCTAGGTAGAGGGGTGATTCGGCTGAGAGTCCCAAAAGAGAGCAGAACTCGCGTGTGAATGAAGTGGCCACATCGTCAAATATTGTGTTTGCGGGGGCGAATAAGGATGCGTAAGGTGACGTGGCGAGGTTGGGTGCGTAGAGTAGGGAGCATGTCAAACGCTGGATATCGGGACGGTGACGGGCTTGGAAGCGGGCAAAGTGGGCTTGGGCATGTGCCAATGCACCATTGCGACCGTTCCTGTCGTCATCTGGGAGACCATTTACTTCTGGGCCTTTGAACAGCCAAAGAAACTGAAGCTTCGTGAGCTCGAATTCAAGATTGGACCCGCGCGCTTCGAGCTCGGCGCTGTTCTGCTGTGCCCAGTTTATGGCTGGAACGAGATTCCGCCTCTTGAGCTCATTGAGGATGCTGTACATGTTGGCGAACTTCTCCTGCAGTTCTTGAGACTGTAAGGATTGGATGTCGGGAGCTGCGTTCGTGGTGGACGTAGTCGACCGCGGTAGCGGGTGCTCGTGCGTCTCGCGGAGGAAGGTCGAAGCGACGCTGAACTGGCCTTCACGGAGCATGTGCATTGCGATAGCTCTATTGATAAGTTCCGGATGCGTCGCCATCGCATCGTGCTCGGTAGGTAGCTGACGGAGTGGGAAGTTCTGTACGAAGGCGTGTCAGTAGCTGCCGGACCAGAACACCGAGACCTGGACGCGAGCTTGCCTTGTCTAGTGACTTGCCGAACACCTTTTGGCCTTTTGAGACCTCCTTCAGATCATTGTTTATTGCGTCAAACCGAGCATTTATTGGGTTCTGGAGTTTGGTCATGGTTAAGCTCGCGCGATGGGGGTCGGTAGCTATCTAGGTCAGGACTTGAGCATGGCGGGGTTCCGGGGAGGCTTTGGCTAACCTCCAGCAACCTGTTCCCTAGCTTGCACGAGCATTTCGAGTAATCTGTCCGCGTCTTCAACAGCTGAATACAGCGACGCCTTCCTGAATCGAGCCAGATCGGCCTGCAGAGCCGTCATAGGATTGGATTCGGCCATCGTGGAGGTGATACGGTACGATTGGGTACGGTTGGGGGGGTACGAAGGTTCGCAGGCTATGGATTCTCGAGCATCGTTGTCCCCAGCACTGTCTCCTATGGAAGCAGGCAGTACAAGGTCCGACCGTAAAGTAATGGGTTCGTCATGAGAACCGGAGGCTGGTCGAAGGTATGAGGGGAACGGGCGATGGCGGATGCTCGTGCTGGTTACAGCAGCTGTCGTTATCGGGCGTACTGACGTCGGCTCGATGACATAAGCCGCTCACGTGGACGAACCTCCATCCGGGATGAACATGGACACTGAAACATGCAGGCACTTTATTGATGGTAGAAACACTGATGGTTCACCAAAAAGGCAAGCCGTGAGGTCTTAATTCATGTGGACTAGTAATACACCCGTGTTGTACATCTTCTGCTGATCTTGCCAGTCTGGTTCGGCTCATCCACATCCAAGCAAGAAGGGAGGAAGCAGAAAGTCAATCACACTTGAGTCTTAACTTTAGGAACAGCCGATGAAAGCCTGCCTGAAAGCTGATGCAAGCTGTGGCGGTCTATGGAAGCCAAATGTAATGCGAAGTGCAGATGCAAATCCCACGATGAGGCAGCCAAGAGGAAAGACGTCTAAATCACCCAAATCATCCTGCCCCAAAAAAACACCAATTATGACACGCCCCTCTTCTTCGACGGATGTATGTGAGAAAGCCAGAGCCAGAACATGAACCAGACCAGAGAGACCCGCAAGTCCCTGCGTATATACGACGCGCCAACCCGTCTAGGTCCTATCTAGCTTCCGCCTCAGGTTGCGGTCGCGCTTCTGGAGCTTCTTGTACTTCTTCTTCTTCATCTTGAGCTTGCGCTGGCGCTTGACGCTGATGGCGTGCATGGCGTCGGTGGTGCCCTGCGCCTCCTCGAAGAGCATCTGTCGCCTGGCCATGCGCTCGAGGAAGCTACGGGGCGCACCATCCTGGACGATGCGAGGGCTGTGAGCGAGAACGCGGACCTGGCCGTCGGCGTCGGTCGACTCTTCGATGGTGAAGAGGGCCTTGTAGACGCGGTGTTGCGGCGTGTCGTCGAGGAGCTCCTCGGCAGCAGCCTCGACCTGAGCCTCGCTGGCCGTGGCAGCAGTATGCGGCTGAGGAATGGGAGGTGGGCGGAAAGGAACGAACTGGCCGGCCATGGAGTTGAGCTGGACGTAGACGCTGGATTCGGAGCCATCGTGGTGCTGGACGTCGATCTTTCGCACGGGGTCGCCATGGGCATCGGGTTCAGGCTGGTCGGCAATGGTCATCTTGGCCATGGCGCCGTCGAGCTCGTCGGCTGTCCGCGAGAGGGTCGAAATCACGTCGCCGGCATTATTCGCCCTGTTGCGTGAGGCGAAGATGGAGGCAAAGGCATCCTCGGTAATCGACTTGGGCAGGCTGTGTGTGACAGAAATCGGGCGGTGGAGAGAGAAGAAGGTCGACAGGCCAAGAGCTGCTGTCTGTTAGCTGGGGTACTTGGCAGACTATAGACAGTCCAAAACAAACCTTCTTGAGACAGGTGCTGAGTGCTGGGGACGCTCGGCAGCTTTTGTGAGGCGTTTCGCTCGGCGCTATCTTTGCTCTTTCGTTTCCGCTTCTCGCCGGTGGTCTTGCTCTGGCCAGACCGGGAAGAGGCCGATGCAGGCACGGCAGACTGGCCGGGGATATCTTTCGGACCATTGTCAGAGCTGGAAGGTTTCGAAGAAGACCATCGTCGCTGGTGGCGGATGGGCCTCGCGATGCCCACGGTGGCAGCGGCTCTAGGGGCAGAGGCGCTCAAGGATGAGACGAGGGGGGTCGGCGGGACGGCGGCCACGCGGCGCACCGAACAAGGCAACATGGTGTGTCCGTCGCCTAATACACAAGTCCTGGAGAGGACGAGGGAGGCGGGTCTAGGGAGAGGGGGGGTTGCGAGGCAGTTGATGCTCCTCGCGCCGTGACGATGGTGGTTTGCCGCTGTTCAAAGACCCGGATTTGGCCGCAGGGAAAAGATGCACGACTTGGGGCTCCACTTCGCCTGAGGCATCCACGAATGGGCTGTCGAGGTGGGTTGAGCGAGGTACCTGTCCGATGTACTGAAGTCTACCCGAAAGATCAATAGAAGAATGTGAATATTCCAGTAGTCTGCGGGTGCACAGTGAAATGCTTCGTCACAATTGATTCTAGAGTGCGCGCTTCAGCTGTTTGTTGCCGCCTGTGCAAGTGACTCAAGTAGGCGGAGGCCGTCCGTTGCATCATGCGCCCAGCCTCATCTCGTGATCGCGCCTCGCCTCACCTCCGCTTAGATCTAGCTCACCAATGACCACGCTCACCGCCAGATAGACAAACGCTGCGAGATTCAATTCCCCGTTATTCGGCGCTTCCCCCGCTCATGTTTCGGCTCTCTCACCGATAGCCGATAGCCTCAACCATCGAGCGAAAATCCGACCTCGCCCGCCTCTTGGCCCATATTGACCAGCATCTCCCGCATGTGCTCCGCTCGCTTCTTCTCCTTGTCACCGAGAGCGCTCAGATCGACCCGATCAACCCAGTCCTTCAGCCCATGCTGCAGCACATTGCGGGCTCTGAGCGAGCTACCCTTGACATGCCCAGCGCTTCCATGCAGCGTCATGCGCTCCTTGCCGGACTTGTAGGCCCCGCGGTGCAGGATATTGTTATTGTAGAAGACAACGTCGCCGGCATTGAGCTTGACCAACAGCTGCTCCGGCATGTCCTTTTCGAAGGGATCCGCTGATCTCTCAACGTCGGTCCTGGCGCGCTTGTGAGAGCCTGGGACAACGATGAGACTCTCGTCGTCGTAGAGTGCCATGTTCCACTGCGCTGAGAAGGCCGGCTGGTTGAGCCGGGCGAGCTCCTCTTCAGCCGTCGCCGTTGCGGGAATGTCATCCCGGTGCCAGCGCAGCTCAAAGTCACTGTCTGGCCGGACCAACAAGTTGAAGAGTTCCATCACAAGGTCCTCGTCCGAGCACTGGAGGAGCTCCTTCGTAGGCTCAATGACGGCATCAGAGAAGTACGTCTTGACGTATACCGCGCTGTTGGGCAGGTCCGGGTGCATCATTCCCTGGACACCCCAAATGCCTTCCTTGGGCAAGTTGTTCGGGCTCGACTTGGGCCAGGGAGGGAATTGCTTCGGGAGAGTGCGGACGTGAGGCCATTCGCCGGCGCGGGCCACAGCCGTTGTGTCCTGGGCGGCCCGACGGAGCTCGGCGAGTTCGTCTGGCAACAGGGCGGAAGGGACCACGAAGAAGCCGTCAGTGTTGAGGCGATCAAGCAGAGAAGGAGCCGCCATCATCGCAATTGATCTTAACAAATGTTGACAACTATCAGTGAATACTTGGAGTTTGAGTTCTGTCCTTTGGTATGAAAGGAATGTCGAGGTCGACGGACGAGCTACCCCTCGCCGTACCGTCCTGTTGCTTGGCTTCGACCATCTCCAGCGCCGGTGTGGAGTGCCAGCCACAGAAGCGGTGCAACGTTTCAGTCACTGACAGCCGTTCTTCCCACATCAACATGCATTAGTCAATGCAGGCTTCAGGCAATACAAGCATAGCCTCCTGTAAGCACCACGTTGGATAGCCCCTCACATTGCAAAAATTTGACCATCAATAGACGAATTCAGGATGGCGTCTCTGATAGGGCAAAAAGGTATTGATGAGGACGAGACTCGAACTCGCGCGGGTTGCCCCACCAGGAAATCTAGTTAAGGTAGACCTTAACCTGGCGCCATAACCAACTCGGCCACCTCACCAATTGATGAAGGAGCGATTAGAAAAAGATCACATGTACATTGCAAGCGTTCACAGCAACAAACTTGATATTGGCCTCTGATCAACGCCCCAGCCCAAACTCATGGTCGATTTCATCACAAGCAATGCAACCTTACGAGCTCTTCAACCGGTGCCGGGCGTCTAGGAGCATGGCCAGGGATGATTCTAGGATCCTGACTCCGGCACGAAGGAATTGTTGTTGCTCGTCGATCCCCCGCCGCACAATCAAGCATTTGATGGTAGTCAGAACTGCGAGGTGAAAGTGTGGTAAAGCCAGTATTGAGAAGGACTTACCCTGAGTCCCGCTGCTTCGGTCTGAAGTTATCATTAGGGGCTCCAGTTCATCATAACAGCGCTGCGTCAGAACACAGAGCTGGCAACCTTGAGTCGCCACCCGGCAAAGCATACTTTGTGAACAAGATCTCAGTCAAGTTGCGTCTGCGGAACACGATTTGGTAAGGCCCTTGCTGAAAAAGCCGATCACGAGCTGCTCCACTCAACAAGTCTCAAGCCACCTAGACAAGAGATACTCAAACCAGACGAGACGAGAGGATCAAAGTGGCGAGGAAACGACAGACAATTACAATTTTGAAGGCGGTCGACGCTGCTCGATCCGCTGTGAGGCGAAGCTCAAAGAAATGATGCCCAGGGCCAATCCGCATGCCATGTGTGCCTGCTGTCTATAAGATGTATACAAAACAAACCAAAAGCCCATGCTCCGCCGAAGCAACGCTAGTCCTTTTGCTCCAAGAGGAGCTCACACTGGGGGCGGCCCTCATTTCGCGCTGTTGAGCGCGCTGAGGAAACAGTTCCACCCGATACTGATCACGTTGACGAACAACAGGCGGTGCTGCAGAGGCACCAGGGCAAAGTTGAAGGCCTGGACGGCGGGCCAAACCATCCAGTTGGCCGTCAGCGCGGGAAAGTAGCTCTTTTCAAGCTTGGCCTTGGGGCTGGTGCCCTCGAGGGTGGCCATGGAGGAGAGGAAGACACCAATCATGACGGGGGCGAAGACGAGCTGGTCGGTGGCGACGCGGCCAATGGTGGTGGCAGCGGTGCTGCGGAAGTTGACGTTGCGCGCGAGGAAGCCGAACCAGGTCGTGGCGACGGGGCCGAAGACACCTAGATAGGCGAGAGGGTCAGCGAATATGCACTGGCGCACGAGTCGACCGGGGCGCAGGGGCGCAGGGACGACGTACTGCCGCCGTAGAGGGCCATGCGGCCTGTGCGGGCAAGATCGTGGCCCTTGGTGCCCTTCTTCTCGATGGCCTGCTGGGCAACAATGTCACCAGTGGCAAAGAGGATGCCGGTGGTGATGCTCTGGGTGAGCAGTGGGCGCGCGGCCAGGCGAGCTTGGTACCTGGATGATGTCAGTGACGGGCGCATAAGTGAGCTGCACAGGGGCGGCTAAGGGGGTTACTGCATTGCTTACCAGGCGAGCATGATGACGGTGTGTGTTCGGAACAAGAGAAAGAATCGATTGCGAATAGGCACAAGACAACGTGAGATAAATTGGAGAGACGCCGAGGCTATCGCACAAGGAAAAAGGAGGCAATGAACGTCAGTGTCGTGGCTCTGGCAGGATCGATGAAAAGACAGCGATCACTGGAGATAGGGTCTGTCCTCCAGTATCAAGATAGCCGATCGGCTACCAAAACGGGGTCTTGGACAATATGGGTGGATTCCGACGAGTGGAGCGATGGCGAGCTATCCCAGAAAAAAAAAGGGCTGATGAAAATTCGATCGACATTCAATTCTGATGAAAAGGTGCAGTGTGACAAGATGATGAAGAAAATCTCTGGCCTGCCAGCTCATTTCCACTGAATGTGGTAGTACAAGGCATCGTGAAGCGATATGTGCATAGATATTGGCGGTGAGACACATCTACCGTCTAGAGCAATACATCCCACGGGCCCCCACGGTGTCCGGGAGCTCGATGGACGGGGATCTGCTCCGAGTCACCAGGTGAGGCGAGGCTGTCCAAGCTCAGCAAGTTTTCATTACTTGCACGCTCCGTGGTCGATCTCGAGAGATTGGCAGAGACGACCAACGCGAGTCGGTCGTGCAAACCGATGCAGTCGGTGAACGAGCTACCATCTAAGGTAATCAGGAATAACACGGCTATTATGAGACCAAAGTCAACTATGGTACTTAGTAATGGTCTTTGGACCAACAATCTTCCAAGGGTGCCCTCCTTCAGCAGTCGAAGGAAAACAGTCTCTCCAGCTTCTCGGAGTCGTAGCCCTGTGCCAGTCCTAGTTGCAGCATAATCCTTGCCTTGCGAGGATTCAAATGGCCAGCGCCGTAGTTATTCCTGCCTCCCTGCGAGATGGCGAAGCCGTCGCCGTTCTGCGATGCCGTGACAATTTGCGTGTTGTACTGCTCAACCAACCTGGCGTTCTCCATCCGACCTGCCTTCCTCCAGGTTCCGTACCCTGGCCCAGCAAGCACGAGGCCCTTGGCACCCATCTTGACGGCCGCCTCTGCGAGACGCGGATTGAACCCCTGGTACGAATAGAGTATCTCGACCTGCGGCAGCTCATCAGGCAAGTCAAAAGCACTGAAGTAATGGCGGCCCAGCGGAAGAGACGGCGCGTAGAAGAACCTGGGCTGTACGTCGAAGAAGAAACCAAGATAGCCGCCCTCCGAGGCGCGAAAGGCATCGACCGAGTTCGCGTGCATCTTGCTCGTTAGGAAGGCTGAGCCAATTCTGTCGTTGAGAGTGACGAGAACACCACGACCCCTAGCCTTGGGACTGGCGGCAAGCGTGACGGCTTCCAGGAGGTTCAGTGGACCATCGGCACTGATGACGGTTGCCGGCCGCATTGCGCCCACGAAAACAATCGGCTTGTCGGTTTGCACGGTAAGATCAACGAAAAATGCCGACTCCTCTAGGGTATCAGTGCCGTGTGTGATGACGAGGCCGTCACAATGAGGACTGCTAACTTCTTGTTGGGCTCGGCGTGCTAGACTTATCAGGTCCTTCACGGTCACCTCTGTTGAATCGATATTCATGACCTGAATACCTTGAATATTGGCTACCGTTCGAATTTGCGGAACAGCATCAATAAGTGCTTCGATTCCGAGATCCCCAGACTTGTAGCCCATGGTGACAGCAGCAGAGGCTGCAGTGGCCGCAATCGTGCCTCCTGTAGCAAATATGGTTACATTTGGCAGATGATGCTTGTGAGACATCTGTTGATGAGCCACCCGGAGCTCATTTGCATCTTGGGGCGTAACGGCTATTGGTCTGGCCGGTATGTTAGCTACAGGTCGTGCTGTGACCGAATAGGATCGGGGTTCCATGTCGGACGTGGGCGTAGATCGCTTGTGATGGCTGGGTAAGGGTTATGAGTTGGGCGGTGCATGAAGCTCTGCGAGACGGAAGGCTGACCAAGACCAACGGTGTGGACTGTAGAACATCGGGGAATAGACGTTGTCGAGCTGATGAGATGTTCTTTGTTCTTATAATCCCATGTGTTTCGCAGCTTTTCGAACCTGCGAAAGCCTGCAGTGATGTAGAGACAAGCAGGTCAGGTCGGACAGGATCATGTAGAACACAAACCGAATCGCGCGATTGCAAACTAAACCAGCCGAGAAGAGGCAGATGAGTGCGGAACAGTTGGAAGAATGGATAGGACTTCCGTTGTAACACTGACAGTCTCACCAGACAAGTGCAATCATATTGGTGACTTTGTTGGCTGAGATGGGAAATGATTTAGGTGCCAGGCATTTGATCCAGAGGTGCAACATGCGATCAGCAGAGCTGAGCTGTCAATCTGGACTCAGCGAATGATAGATGGTGCACACGGCATCTGGACCATGTGGTCGGGATTGCTTACGGGATGTCTCTTTCGTGGAAAGTATCGCTTGGGCTGAAACCACATGTGCAAGATCACCCAACCCCTTCTGGCGAAATTGTACGACACGAAGGATGAGATGGGTGTATCACCCCTGGTCCGGACCTAGCCGGACCGATGCGACTTAATGCAATAGGATAACTGCAGGGCCAAGAGGTCGAAAATGGATATTTTCAGGATTTACTTGACACTGTCCCGACCGCCGAGTGATGCATTGGGGTATCTTCTCCGATGGTCTCAACTCTGGAAACCTCGCCTCGAACAAGATCCAGCTTGGCAGAGTACTGTGCCAGAAGCACCGCCATCAACTCCTGAGCCCCAGGTGCGGAATGTTTGCGGGGAAGTGTCGCGCTGACGGCATCGCACGCGTGACGTTGCTTGTCGTGTTGTTCCTTAACCATATTGACGAGGACAAACTCGGAGACAGGGTTACGGCATTCATCTTCCGATCGACTGCTCATCAGGTCGTCGACGAGTGCTGTGTCGGAGGCCAAAGACGACACGTAGATGATCAGACTGGGATCCGGCAGCCCCATGCCTTGCGCATCCTCGGCAGTCATTTGCTGCGTTGCAAGTTGTGCATTTGAAGGCTCGTCGGGTAAGGGAAAGACCAATCGTAGGGTTTCGATGAAGACATCGAGAACGAACATAGCCGGCAGTACCAGCATCATGCAAGATGTGTCGTCGGTCATGCTGTGCATGATTCGGTTGCGCCAGGAAAATCGTTCGGCGGCCATCATGAGCCAGACATGCATGTTGGAAACCTTTCGCGCAACGTCTAGGAGCTCATGGAGGGTGTCCGAACGCAAGGCTACACCCGGAGGAGGTCGTTGTGAGAACAGAGGCGTAAGGATTCTTCTTTTACTCAGAAGCTGTTGCTGCAGAGCTGACATGCGCTCAAGCTTAGCAAGAACAACGCTCTGAGCGTCGTGTGTGCCCCTGAGATTTGGTAACAGCTCCTCCAGGGTCCTTTCATCTTCCTGGTCCTGGTCCTGGCCCACATCGTAGCTGTCATCTGCCGCCGCGGTGTCGACCAGCGGATACCGAGGAGTAGCATCCACGCTGTCGTGACTCGCCTGGGTCGTGGAAGGAGTGATGGGGGTCATCGCCCTGAATACAACGGGCTTCAGAGGCGCTGTTGACGGTTCATTGCTATTCTCGCGGTGACCAGTAGTGGCAGGCTTTTCTTTTTTGGGCCTCCCAGTCTTCAATGCCGGGCTGAAGACGCATTCAATGTGTTCCCGCACGCATCGTTCGCATGGCTTTGGTGTCGATCCCGGTGCTCGGATGCATCGAATCTTTTTGGCATGGCAGGAGTCGCAAGCTTGCCTGATACCTTTGGCAGGGCGATCGCGTCTGGGTTGGTTCATGGCGAGCTACGTTACACGCTTTGCATGTCAAAGAGATGAAATTATGGGATTTTGGGGGACAGGACTGGCGGTGAGAGGAGGCCCAAAAACCGACGGGTGTGTAAGACTGAGGATAGATTGAGAATGAAGAGAAACTAGAGCGCTGACTTTGATGCGTCCCTGAATTCACATGTCGCAAAGTCAAGCTTGACCCATTGCGCGGCTGACGTAATCGATCATAGATCATGAAGCTATTTGTCGGAAGGGTAAGGTGAGCTGCTGAAGTACCGGCTGGTGCTGTGACTTTCGTCAGGGCTGGGTATCCATAAGGCACCTAAGCTTGCTAAGGTAGTACGGTAATGTAAGATAGGTGCATGCTGGTAAGCGACGTAAGGCAGCAGGGAAGAAAAACTAGGCTTAGTTTTTAAACTGGAAAGGTACCGCAGCCCACAACGGTCAACATGATGAATGGGTATTCGATGAGAGATCAGTCACCAAGCGACTAGTCCTTACGGAGTCGGATAGTTACGGCAGGACGGGTCCTCGAAAAGCCACGCCGAGGAGACTTCGGCCAAAACCCACTTGCTCCAGAAGGATCGTGTAACAGACCTCGGAGGAACTCTCCCAACCCACACACGGTACGGCATCTAAGGGTAGCGAAGTCCGTGTCTCGGAAACGCCGGCACTCTTGAAACCCTAATGCTCGCCGAGGTGGAATCGTCCTGCGCGAACACACTGAACCAGTTTCGATCAACCCTCGCGAGTCGGAAACACGTGAAAGTTGCCGACGTGGGAGGAAGCAAAGGCTGGACTGTCATCTCAGACTGGGCTGATGTACATGTGCAAGATGACTATCACTTGACGAACTGACGTGACAGGATCGATCGTATTGTGGGTCTAGCAATAGTTGCATTTACCCGTCGCCCCGCTAGTCACATACTTAATGATTCAGGTCTTTCATCAAAATTTGTCCAAGTGATTGCATTCTCTGTTGGCTTTTGCATCGACATCGGGACGTTCTTGACAGTACAACTATGAGGGACAGTCTGCAGGACCTGGAGCGACATCGAGCGCAGCTCGAAGAAAACGTCGACAAGCTGCGGAAAGGACTCCAACACTGGCGACGATGGGACGCCGAGTATGAGACTCTCAAAGACGAGATAGAGTCAGCCCCCAAACCAGTCACTCAGAAAGATCTCGCTAGGATACGGGCCGAATTCAAGAGCGATGTCATAGATCGGAAGGAACTCGATGAGATCTTCGGCAATGTCGGAATCAAACCTGCTGATCAGGTCGTCAATGTTATTTCACGACGGATCGACTACGTCACGAAGAATCTCGAAACCCTGGAGAAGCAGCTCGAAATCGCCGAAGAGAAACATGCTGCGGCATCAATCATCACCGACCCTGACATGCGGGATGAGGAGGGCCTGCCAATGTCAGAGATCATCGAGGAACTTGATGAAGACGGCCAGGTCATCTCATCTCGCGTGCAGAAGCCTGGAGACGCGCAAACCCAACTGGAAGAGCTCCTGAAGAAGGCCGGCATCAAGGATATACCAAATGGAGGTCCGGCACCTGAACAGACCCCTCAGAGTGCTCCAGTGGAGCCAAAATCTGAAGCATTAGCAACCCAAAAGGTATCGCCAAAGGCTCCAGCGCAAAGAGCACCAACAACGCAAGCCCCACTAGCGAAAAAGAACCTTGAATCTGTTGGTGGACCCTCGTCAAGTGAAGGCCTCAACGATGGTGGCACAAAGAAGAGCGTCTCATTCACAGAGGATACCAAAGCTGGAGAGGAAACAGAGAAGTCCAGAACAGCTGTCCGCGTCGAACAGATCATGCAAACCGCCAAGGATCAAGAGCAACTGGCCCGTTCAGAAGCCGTCGTTCCTGAAGATGAGTCGGAAGAAGACGCCTTTTTACGACGAGAGATGCTCAAGTACGGCATGGGTGAGGTAGGCGCCGTTGTCGCTGAATTGACCCTGGAAGAAGCCACAGACGATGACGAAGGCTTCGACGAGGAGTATTCTGAGGAGGATGAAGAGGAAGACGACGAAGAAGATAAATACGGTCGCTCTATTGGCAGTGTTATTGATAACGATTATCGCCAGCGGATGTTGGAGCTCGAGAAGCGCCTTGGCATCAAGTCCAGATTCACTGAACAGTTGGCTGAACAGGATACTGATTCTGACGACAACGAGCCAGAAGGACTGGGCCGCATCACAATTCAACAAGAGCCTCAGCCATCCTCAGAAGCTCCGCCCACGGAAATCGTTGTCTCTCCACGCGCCTCCAGCCTGAAGTCGTCGGTTGTGGATGATGGCGCAGATGAGAAGAAGAGTGTACGATTTGCCGCGGATCTGGATATCGCCCCCGACGACGTTCCATCGGCCTCAAAAACATCGTCAGAACCGGCGAGGCCATTTGTTGACCCCCTCAGCGACATTGTGGAAAGAAGCGGTCCGTCGCAACGTCCAGAACAAACCTCCAAGCCAGTTCGTAAAGCATCCCGCTTCAAGAAGAATCGAGGCGAAGAGGCAACAGCGGGCGAATTAGCCGTGCCCAAGGGACCACTCGATGTTCCTGTTCGATTCCTGGACCAGGACAGGCCCACAGCTCCGACAGGGCCCCTGGGGAAGACGATTGCGGAGTCTGTCCTCGAGCGTGAATCAACCTCCACCAGAGCTGGAGAGGAGTACAACGACGACTTCATGGACCAGGATCTCGCCGACGAATACCACCAGAAACGCCGTAACTTCATCCAAAAGCACGGCGGCTTCCTGCAAGAAGATGAATCCCCTATTCAGCCCCTCGATGAAGCTGATGGTGGCCAAAAGATGAGCAGATTCAGAGCTGCCCGTCTCTCGAAGCAATAGAAACTCAACGATACTATTGCGTAGGTAATGTTGCAGATGGGTTCCATCAATTGAAGTCATCTTCACTATCGGCATTCGCGCCCTTCTGTCTGTCGTGCTTGTGTGATGCCCTTATATTCGTGACTATTTACGGATCTTGAGATCAGAAGCTTGGATGAACAACCCCAAGGGAGCGTTCATGCATGCGTTTGGAATTATTGGGCTGCACATCACTTTGCTTCCCAACCCCTCAAGGCTCCAAGATAAATGCTTGCACAGGGTTTCTCTGACGTCGTACCCCCGATAACAGGGGCCATCCCAATGGTATGGTCGTTTCGTTACACTCCTGACACCTTCTACATGTATTTTCCTTAGCCGTGGTTGATCTCGGCCTGGGAAAAGTCCAAGCCAGTCTGCTTTTGCAGCTCTGCAAGACGCTTCATGTTCTCCTCTTGCTTGTTCTTCTGCTTTTGCTCAGGCGTCAATGTGCTCTCCCACATCATCTTTTCGGCCATTGCACGGGTTGAGCCCTCGGTCACGTCGCTGAGGGATGTTTCTTCAGGTTCAATCATCGTGAGGTCAACGGAGGGCTGGTTGGTCACAATATTGGCCCACCACTCCATCTTGTTCGTCTTGTCGAGGTGGATTGTAACAGTCTTGGCGTCTTTCGCGGCGTTGGGAGTCATGCCCCATGTTGACTCATCAACACGAATAGGATGAGGGAAGTCGCCCTATCCACCGATTTCTGTTAGTGGTGTCCAAACGACTGCGGCTTTCGTCGTCACAAGTTTGATTGCGTAGAAAAGTACAAATTATGACGAGATCTACGCACATCGATGAGGAGTGTCTGGCCCTTTATGCCAGCCTTGAAGGATGTACGTTTGAAATCAATGACCAAATCCTTGGCCTTATAATTGAGAGGGACATCGAATTCGACTTGCAAAGTCTCAAGCTGCTGGAACCATTTGTATGGCAAGGCCGCCTGCTCCGCGTTCTGCTTTTCGCGAGCAGCTTTCTCTTCGTCCGTCTTTGGTGCCCTGAAGCCTATCAGATCATTATTATTAGCTCTTCTTGACCAAATTCAATATCTCTAGTCGAACGGCAAGCCTTACGCATGGTAACTAGAATGTTGATCTGCTATTTGTTCTGGAGAAGTGCATAGAATGCGATGGGTGACGCTGATGCGACTTTTGGAGGGGTAGCTTCCGCCCCCTGCTGCACGCTAAACGAACACTCGCGATAACGATGGCTTATCTAAGAAGCTACCCTGATTCCAGAGTCCTTCGGAATGCATCATGCAGACCTCGGTCCCTGGGCTAATTGCTCAACAAGCCGTCTCTTGATTTCTCCTAGCACGCAACCTTTCTTTCTATTCTTCTCACGAACATATGCTGCGATAATCATCTTCTGGAGGCTACACGCACGACTACAGCTGCGCGACAGCCAAAAGCGCGAGCTCACACGCAAAGATCTTCCCTGGTGTGCCACATCCAAGCACGTCCGTCATGGCGTCTCGTAAAGGAAACCCCCCTTCCCCCAGCACCGACGTTTGTCCTGTCTGCAAAACGATGCGCTACCTTAACCGAGACCTCGAGTTTCTGATCAATCCCGAATGCTATCATCCTATGTGCGCCAACTGCGTTGCTCGTCTATTCGCCGATGGCCCTGCACAATGCCCGTACGCTGGGTGCACGAAAACACTCCGAAAAAAGGCGTTCAAAGCGGCATGGTTCGGCGACCTGACCGTTGAACGCGAAGTCGATGTTCGCCGCCGTGTCCACGCTGTATTTAACAAGGAAGAGCCCGACTTTGAGTCTCTCGAAGACTTTAATGCATATCTCGAGCAAGTAGAGTCTTTGACGTTCGACTTGCTCAATGGACAACCAAACGAGAAGGCACGTGCGGAAGCACAACTACAGGACTGGGAGGCGCAACACAAGAGCGAGATTGAAGAACGCAGGCGCCTAGCCAAGGAATCAGAGGCTCAACGGACCAGCCGCGAGCGCGAAGAAAAGGAAGCGGCCCGTCGCCGCAGGCTGGAAGCCGCACGCGAAGATGCAGAAGAGAAGGCGCGGGAGGCGCGCGCTAGAGAAGATGTCCTAGACGGCCTCGCCAGCGGAAACATCGGGCAAGCTCGCGCAACAATGGAGAAGATTGTCCTCAAGAAGCGAGGTCAGGGCAGACTGGATGCAGCTCGTTCGTCTCTCACGGATGCAACCTCAGCCATGTCGATTCGTGGTCTCAAGAAGAAGGAGAAGCCCGTTTACGTCGATGAAGGGCCTTACGATCCATTTGGAGGCATGAATCTTTCTTTGCAACGATACGAATTAGGCCCGCTCGACGACTACAGCAACGATTGGGTTGACGCAGCACGCATGAGAAGTGACATTGTCGTCGGCGGGTACAGTGCTGAAGAGTATTTGACACGAGCCATGTTCGAGGCTTTCTCAGGGCTAGGTGTCTTCATTGAGGATGAAAAGGGCGCAGAAGATTTGGCGACGACAGAGGCAGCGCAGGTGGCCGCCTCAGGACAGACATCACAGAAGATGGATGTGGATGCCTATTAATCCTGAAATAGAACAGATGAGAAATTGCGAGCTTTGCTTTTTAGCACATGGGGGTATGTAGCGACGGCGTCAAGGTTTTGCACTTATAGCATCGAAAAAGTACAAAGCATTCAGTGTCGAAGGTCTGCTGAACGTTGGCTGGGCTTTCACTGTGTCTGTATGTGCTGGTTCTCTCAATATGACTTCATCGATGGCCACCGTCAACGCACCACTGCCAGGTGTAACATCCACAGCAAGTCTAGTGCTCTGCAAACCTGCAAGCGATTTATACAGGAACGACGACTCAATCTACGTCTATACCGAAAATTCGTCGTATGCACTTCAATCTTGAAGCCGGTCAATAAGAGCATTCGAACACGACCAACACGTGACCTGCTGTCAATGAAACTTGGAGTAAGGTCTGTCGGTACGTACCCAGGCTTACCAGGCAATCCGCCCCACCAGGCGCGACCTCCATAAAACTGTGCTACGGCGCTGGCGCTTTCTCGGTTTCTTTTTTTTCTCCTTATGATTTCTCCAATTCAATCAAGTGTACGTTTTCTCACGCGCAACCCGTCTGCATCACCATTGAAGGCCTCAAACTAATCGTATCGCAGATGATGAAGACCTCCGTGGATAAATGATGCTGCCAACCCGTCTGGAACTTCCGAGCTCTCTCCTTCGGGAGCTTCAGGGCAGAGTTGGGAAGGGCGGGGAGGCCATGATCTAGGCGTTCGGCCACGACCTTGTTACTGCATCGGACGCGATGAAAGGCCATTCTGATTTTGAACTGAATTGGAAGAAGACAAAAGGGAAGGGCACATGTATTGAATGAAGGTTGGTGCCTAGCAAGTGCTTGGCAAACACAATCTGCTCCAGTATCTCGATCATATTTCCATTCCCTGTCAAGTAATAAGGTACCTAGGTTAATGTACATGACAATTTGAACTCTACAAGCCCCCCCTCCTCGGATTACTTTTGAAAGCACTTCGTTGCGTACTACATGTTGACTGGGTGGCTAATCATTAACCTTGATCAAACATCACTGTGCATCCAAATGGCGTGCATCCTTCCCGTGTTCGACGTGGTTCACTTAGGCAGCACTAGCTGAAATGAAGTTCCAGAATGTCTGCAACCGGTGAGGTCATGATACTCGTACTGAATCACTGCTGGCGATGTCTTGGATTTTCTTCAATCAATGGTTTCCTCGGGGGTGTGTCATAGCGAACTGAGAAAGAGCTGTAGCATGAACTTGCAGCAGGAGACTTCCCGGTGAGCGCAGATGATTACTTCATAGGTGGCAGCTCATCGAGCATGTCACCCCCAAAGACAGTGGGGTCTTAGCGGGGGGTGCCTGGAATGCGACACTCCAATGATGTCGGGAGCCTGATTGCTGGGCAGCTTTCCACGAGCGGGCAATGACAGACCCCCGGTGCCCGGGCGGACCGCAAGCCCGCCCAGCAAACCGGATGGATCCTTGTTCTCTCTCGAGCTACATCGAGCGAGTCGAGTGCCCATCACGCCAACCACGTCAACTCGTGCCTGCCAGCACCAGCCTCCTCGGCGACGTGGCCGACATTCATGAATCCGAACAGCTGCCCAGCCCAGCCCAGCTTCTCTTCCAAAAACACCACTTAGCGGCGCAAAACGTGCGACACGACATCAATTTGCATCATTACTATCCGACGACACCCTCCCTCCTTGTGTCATGGCTTTTGTGCACAGTTGACGGCCCCATCCGAATACCCCACCCTTGCATCTGAAGGAGCCAATTTCCCCAGGTTGCTGGGCATCGCAATCGTCACCACAGCATTGTTACAGCACAGAGAGCTCAACACGCACCTCTACAACGACTTGCGGTCTGTCGGAGCCGACGTTTTGACATATCCTGCCATTTCTCCAGGCCAACTTGGCTTCCACGATCGACCTCCTTCGACGTCTTCCCCGCTGTAGCCTGACTGCGTCGGAAAACAGTCCCGTCCCAATCGAGGCGTGGACAAACCACCGAGATAACCGGCATTCGCCAGCGGCTGGCTGATACGGCAAGGATCCTGTTGCTGTCGTAGCCTCGAAGTACTATTAGCTTGTAGCGACAAGTTTTCGTCATGTCGAGCTCTTTCGAGAAGTCCGTTAAGGGCGCTACCAAGATCAAGGTATACATCTGACTCTTCTACTGCCCGCTCGGGGACGCCATCCCCGATCAGCCAACGCGTATGCGCTGACAAGAATGACCAGGCGGCGCCTCCCAAGACCAAATATATCGAGCACATCCTCGTTGCGACGCATTCCGGCGAGGCTGGTGTGGCAGAAGTCTTCCGGTCGCTTCAGTTCCGTTTGCGCGACTCTACCTGGACCGTGGTCTTCAAGAGCTTAATCACAATACACCTCATGATCAGAGAAGGCTCTCCAGACGCCACGCTCGCATACCTATCGGAACACAGGAACCTATTGAGCATCACCACTATCACAGATGGTCAGTCAATAATCCAGTATCAAATCCGGTCTTATCATCGCTAATACCGCAAAGCACAAACACAGGGTCGGAATATCCGCGTGTATGCCAATTACCTTCAAGAGAGGGCGAAGGCATATCGGGACACTAAATGCGACTGGGTCCGAGTGAAAGAAACACGGCTGGAAAAGATGACTGTGGACAAGGGTCTGTTAAGGGAGACCGAATCTCTGCAGCGTCAGGTTTCAGCCTTGCTGAAATGCGACGTAAGTGGACCTCTCTGGCGATGCACGATATAGACTGACGGACCCTAGATTGTGGAGGATCAATCATCCTTTGAGGTGACGACCACGGCCTTCAGGCTTCTCGTTCTCGATCTGCTAGCGCTGTTCCAATCACTCAACCAAGCTATGATCAATATTCTAGGTACGAGACCTCAAGCCACCTATCCGGATCGCTACTGACGCTGCCAGGGTGCTTCTTCGAGCTCTCAAAGCCTGACGCGGAGAGGGCCATGGAGATATACCGCCAGTTTGCGAAACAGACTGATTTCGTTGTGAGCTACCTGAGGCTAGCGCGGCAGTACGAGCACCTCACGCGGGTCGAAGTGCCCAAGCTCAAGCACGCCCCTGTCAATCTGAAGCAGCAGCTCGAGGAATATCTCAACGACCCCGATTTTGAGGTCAACCGCCGACAGTATATCGCTGAAGTCCAAGCCAAAAAGAACGGTGGCACGTCGGCGGTGTCCAAGGCGTCGGCACCCAGTGCCCCCTCGAAGCCGAAACACTCGTACAGCAACTCTTTCCCCGAGCCCACGCCTGCCGCTCCTCAATCCGCAAAGCCCCAAGCTAAGGGTCCCGCACCAGATCTGATTGATTTCTTCGAATCCATCGAGCAAAACCAAACGCCAATGGCTCAAGAACCTGCGCCCCAGCAGCTGGCTCAACAGCAGTTGCCCCAGCAGCAGTTGCCCCAGCAGCAGTTGCCGATGCAGACCGGTTTCATTAACAACCCTTACCAACAGCAAGCTCTTGGCTTTCAGCAAACCGGTCTAGGTACGCAACAGACCGGGCTGTCAACCAATCCGTACCAGACTCAACAAGCAGTTACTTCTCAGAGTTACAACCCATGGGGTCAGCAGCCTCAGCAGCCTCAGCAACTGCAATCCAACTTCACTGGGGCTGGCTTTGGAGGCTACACCCCGCAACCGGGCTTCCAGCCTGGCGCGCTAGGATCCATTCCTCAAGAAGGCGTCGCCAGCTTCCAGACCGGCACTGCTTCACCTGCGCAAAACATCCAACCACCTCAGACAACAAATCCTTTCAGGGCTTCAATGTTGGTGACACAGCAGACTGGATTTTCTGCTAGTCCTGTTGCGTCCGGGTCCAACAACTCTCCTGTGAATGGCGGTCTGCAGCGGCAGTCCACGAACCCATTTGCACGCTCATCGCCCCAAGCACAGCAGCCTTTCGCCCCTGCCGAATCGATACAACCGCAAGTGGCTGCGCCGCCAGCTCCATTGCAGCCCATGACCACGGGCACCAACCCCTTCGCCAAGAGCTTTGGCGGTTCACCACAGCCCCAGGGGCCGGTAATCAGTGCTGGTCCTCTCGCGCCGCAGCAAACGGGCACCAACCCCTTCCGACAGGGAGCATTCGTCAATCATCAAACTGGACTAGGCTGGCAGCACAACCAACAGACGATGGGGGGAGGCCTCGATCAGCTTGGCTCAATCCCAGTCTTCCCACGTCCTGCGCAGCAATCGCCATGGCAACAGTAACTTAAGACAACTGAATGTGGAATATTTTTGGATTCTCTCAGCCCTTCGTTTCGAATGGCCATTTATGTGTGACAAAGCATGGCGTTTAGAGAAATGCTTTCAGACGGTCGAGAATGACGAACCCAAGTGCGAGGTAAGAGCCTAGAAGCCAGTGATCATACAGTGTTCTGGACATTATGGAAGCGGTGGAAACCCTACGGGCAACATCAGCAAGCAAGTTTACAATTGAAAAGGGCAAGCGCATTTCCGATACTGCCACTTCGTCTCGGAAAGCAATTATCAGAGCATGCTCAAGGTACACATGTACATACTATCTGGGAGCCCTGAATAAGACCCGAGGGAAGGTTCCCATCGAAGCTATCAAGGCTTTGTCCGAAGATAGACATGCCTTCTGTTTTCCAAATTTCGCTGCGCCGAGACTTCACTCCAAATCAAGGGGGTGGTCTCCCCACAAGCCGTCCACTTCTCTTCACTACCGCCCGTCCTTTCATCGTAATCAGCAGAGCTATAGGGCCAGCTGCCCGGCATGTATTGACGCGTTGACTCCTCAACGGTGGTCCAGAATTCGCCAGCATAGACTTCATACTCGTGGGCCCACCACAGAACCCAGTCTTGGGGACGGGAGCCATACGTAATGCCAATAAGTCGGAGACGGTGCGTTCGCATCCATAGCATGACATTCGTCAACCCATTTGCATGGACTGTCTCGCGCTGAAGACGTCGTTCCTCTCTGCCATATCTTCGCAAGTCGACACCACCATGACGATCTAGCGGTCCGAGCCAGTCCTGCAAAATTCCATCCGGAATTCTTGCGAATTCGTGCCTTGGCGTGTCGGCATGCGAGCAGACTTTGAGAGTCGCACGAAGATAGCTGATGAAAGGAGTCTGTGGCCCGCCTTGCCCGTCCCATCCCGGCCGCGGGCAGTTTAAAAAATCTTGCTCCTGGCAGTGAAGACTGGCTGGATCAGCCAGGATGCTTTCGCAAAGCATGGCGATGAATATAGGCCCATGCGTGAACTGCCCAGGACTAAGGCGGTCCGCGGCAAGCACCAGGCCTATTCCTGTGGCCAGGGAATGGACAACAGAACATCCCTCCGATCTGGAGAACTCGACCACGACGGGCGAGGAGAGCTCAATGTCACCGGCGTGGGAGGACCACATCTCAGGTAGAATGAACCGGAAGTCGGATATCGATATAGGTGTCCTCGAAAAGACAGTACGAAAACATCTGACTCTGTCGGAGAGTCGCAAGTCGGGAAGAAACAACTGCTGGTATCGCCTGACATTCACCAGACGACCTCCTATGATCAGATCGGCAAATATCCGAACATTTTTAATTCTTTTCTCGTGATCATATGGTGATAAAAGAGATAATATGTCGATCATGTTGTGGCCAAATTGCTGCTGGGCGTAATGTCCTGTTTGATACACAGCTGCAGTGTAAAGGCTAAAGATCCAATAATCCCTGGGAAACGTTAAAAGCCAGAAAAGGTAAATAGCATCGTGAGCTTTGCTTACATTCTCGAAGTCAACACTCCACCCCATCGGTTGTCGAGGATATAGCTTTTCAGCCCAAGTTCAACGAGTTTTCCAAACGTCCTAACACTGCCAGACCACGAAGATAGCTGCAAAAATGTGGTCAGCGCTTCTAGCTGGGTCATGGAGAGTCTTGTCTCAACTCACGTCCAGTAGTGTGAAACCATCTCGGTCTCGCGTCAACAAAGGCAGCCTCTGCCGAGTGAGGAAACTCAGCAGCGCAGGACAGTCATCTGTCTCCAAGATGCCAACAACCCCTTCGACCTCCTTCCAACTCCGAATCACGTTGTGTACTTTGAGTTCAGTGTTCCAGCCGTGGAGGCTACGCTCAACCATGACAGAATAGATGCTTGCTGCAAGCCAACTCGGCGCCTGCAGAACGAATTCGTAACGATCTTTCGAGTTGAGTGTGAAATTAACGCGTCCGAGCCAAGATGTTCCTGGATATATCGTACGGAGTCGTGCGACCTCTTCCGGGGTTGTCTTCTTTGCAATGTCGACTTCTGGAGGCACGGGCTCGATGGTAGTTATAACCTGGCCATGTCTTGCGGGCCCGGACTGTGGTGGTGCCGGCAAAGGCAGTCGGTTTATAATGACCTGGCTCGAAATGCGTGTATATGCCCTGTCGCCCAACAAAATCAGTCTCTTAACGTTGGCGCAATGTGACAGGAAACTCACATTGTGTAGCTGTTGATAGCCATATTCAGAATGTCCAAAGCTCTCCGCAGCTGGCTCTCCATCTTTTCTAATACCGGCTTCTTAATTACGACCCTCACCGAAACAAGCCTCCGTCGGAATCCCCTGGAAGACACAATCTGCCTGTCAAGACTTTCGACAAGTTCTTCCAACGCTCTATACGCCCTCTGTGTCGATCGCAAGACGCGAGGGAGGACGGTCGACTTGAGCTCGTCCGGAATCTCGTCACGGTTGATCTGCTCCTCGACATCCTGGAGAATCAGGTCCACGTCCTCTAGCTCCTCGAGGATGGACTGGATGTGGTCGGGGACATCCTGCACTTCGTCCCAGAGCCGCTTCAACTTGACGATGGTCACGGCGAGCTCAGCCGCAAACTGAGTTGCCCCGAGGCCGAGGCCGACAGCTTCGAGAGCCATCTGGCGTGCTCGTATTGCTCCAGAACTTATTTGCGGTCGACCGGCTGAGGCTTGTTATTTGCAAAAGCAGACTTAATAACTGGCAGAACCCATCCTCACGACGTGCTACGTTGGTCTCAGCAAAGAATGGCTGTCATATTGGCTATGGGTATGTCTATCAAGTTCCGAGGCCTCCTTTTCTCGTCAGTGGAACAGGGAGTCGTACCACACCGGCGAGATGCATTTGCATGGGGGTCGGACTGTGGCTATGCGACGTGTTGTTGGCTGTTGGTGGTCGGGCGGCTGAGTGTGCCATGTGAGTGGACAGGCGTTGTGTGAGCGGCAGACCCTGGGGCGGTCCCGTCCCGCATCCCGTTGACGAAACGACGATTTGTCAAAATGAATAAAAATCTAAACGAGCCAGGGCAAAGCAAATACTGACATGTCAGTTTTGACATCTGAAATTAATCGCCAAGTCGGGGACCGCAGCCAGGCAGAGGGCAGAATCATGCACACAGCACGGCTAATGAAACACTTCAGTGCCTTGAACAGGCACATGGTTGCATCACCACGTCAAGGCTGCCGCGTGGCATTCAAATGAGTCAGAAATTCTTATAAAAGTGCAGAAAAATAAGGCGCTTGCTAATAATCAAGAATCAAAAGTAGAAAGTCGGGATGGCTCATAGAGATGTTAAAAAGGGATCCTCGCCGTCGTCCATCCCAGCCCCCCCACGCGAACCCTCCTCCCAGCGCAGGTCAAACACCGACGCTGCTCCCCAAGGTTCGTGACGGAGCAGCCGGAGCACACATGCCTCCTACAGGCACCGCACAGGTGGTCGTCCTCGCTATCGAAGCCGTAGCCATTGATGTCCATCGAGTCAGTCCCATCGCGGGAGCCGAACCCGACACCACAGTCTTCGCAGCTCAAAGTCTCATGGCAGGTTTGTGACGTGGATGGTGTGAATGACGGTGCGGCCGGAGCAGAGTTGATGTTCCAGAATGCATGTAGAGACCGCTGCGCTGTTGGCGCCGGCTGTGCTGGTCGCTCGAGAATGCGAGGCATCGGAGAGGGGCTGGTTGGGGCAAAGTCTGCATCGGAATGTTGCTGAGCGGAGTAGAGCATGCTGAGTGTGTGTTCTATGAATCTTGCTGTCAGTAACTGAAAAGCGGGATAGCAAGGGCTTTTCAACACATACGATGGACTGCATCCTGCGAGGGTCTGTTGTCGCGGAAACGCTTCATGGTGCGGCTAGGCAGGTGTGATGGCGTGAAGTGGGAGGAGAACGCAGCAAAGGGCGCCGGAGAGATGTGGTCCATGTCCATCGTACCAGGGAGTATGGGCGAGGAGGAGAACGACGACGGCGAGCTGGAAAGCTCCTCGGAAGAACGCTTGCGCTTGAGAACCATGGTGATGGACGAGACGTGTAGATTTGGGAGGTTGATTATTGATTGGTCGTCGACGTGAGTATTTGAGGGTAGTTTTGGAGCTCGGGTGATAAGCAAGCGGAATGCGACTATCGAGTGTTGAAGTAATTGCAAGGTTTGACCCAGGGAAGATGGGAAAGGTCACCGATTTGTATGTGACGGGGTGGACGGTGGCTGGCAGCGGGACGCGTCGAGTTGAGCGTGACAGGTTCAAGCACTTTAGGAGACGCGTAGGAGTCGCGTTGCCCCACCTACAGCCACGGTCACCCCAGAGTCACTCGAGCACACCCCACGGCAAGACAGCAGCGCGCGTCATTGTGGCTTTTATCCCAGTCTACTGTCCATAATTGTGAAATGCAATTGTCTGTTGTTGAAGGTTTGCCGCTGCAACTGTCACTCGACGACTCGGACGACCAGTCTTCCAAAGCCCCCCTTGATAGCCGCCACTTTCTCGCATTCGGCCCGCACACCCTCAGCATCCGAAAGATTGACAGTGCGTATGATGGCCCTGATCTTGCCCATTGCAATCATCTCGCCAGTCTTCTCGAGGGCCTCCCTGTCTCCGGGGTCACCAGAGACGAACTCATATTGGATTTTCGTGCCGCGCAACAAGAAGGAATACCAGCACTGGCCCAGATCGAAGATCCAGCCCAACCAGAATGGTACCATCTTGGGACCGAGCATCAATTTAGCCAGCTTGGACGTGGGGATACCAGCCAGAGACACCAGGACGCCGGTTTGAGGGTGCAACAATGGGATGCCAGCGTTCAAGGTCGTCATTTGCGGATTGAACATGAAATCAACGCTGTGCTGGGGCACAACTTTGGAGACGTCCTCTGTCTGGTAGTCGACGAGCTGATCAACGAGGCCAGGTAAGAACTTCTCCACGAGCGGCATCTTGCCTGTTGACACAGTGGATATGATTTTGCCGGCGCCAAAGACATTCTTCGCCATCTGAATGGCGATGCCGCCCAAGCCGCTAAAGCGCTGCGGGTATGAAGACCGTCTTACCCTCGAGGCTGTCGACACCAGCCATGGCCAGCCCTCGCGTGATGGCTTGGTAAACGGTCACAGCATACCCCGGGTAGAGAGGCAGCATCCTCAAGCTCAAAATTCGTAGGCTTGAGAAGCAGCATTCGCTCCTCTACGACGGTGTATTTCGGAAACAGAAACCCGAGCTGGCATCTTCAAGGAGGGGTCGTGTGATTTGCCGTGCCCGTATACGGCGTCGCCAACCTTGAAACTCTTGACCCCCGGAGCCGATGGCGACGATAATGCCTGCGCCTTCGCCGCCGAGCTCCATGGGGAAGTCAACTTTGAGACGAATGATTGGAGTGCCGCGGGCTCGGACACAGTCGCCCGCCATGAGAGCGCAAGCATGCACGCGGATGAGAACATGACCTGGCCTGGTCATGGCCGGCAGAGGTCTATCGGCAATCTCAAAGTCACGCGGGCCACAGAATCGGGGCGCCACGAGAGCTCGCTTCGTCGTGGGGATGTCGGCCATGTTTGATCGGTCGTAGTGGTGAGTGATGATGTTGAATGGCTTTGCTGTTGTAGTAGGCCGATCGCTCGTCGATATTATCTGCCCTGTGAGTCGATGATCTTAAGTCCTGTTGCAATCAGCCAGGCATACGTCGTCGTATGCTCCCAAGACTGTAGGACCACGGCCCATTGCCTGCCTTCCAGTTTATCGGCCTGAAATTGTTCCGTCTGGCAGTTGGCTGCGGAGTTGGACGATAATGCGGACTTTGATGGAGGGCACCTTCACGAATAGGCCGTCATTTCGACTTGGCGTTGTGTTTTTGGTCTTTGTCTGTGCCGCGAAGGCGCTGAAACGTAGTTGATGTGACTTGGGCTGCAGGAAGGGTGCTGCTCCAGGCAGAGACAAGCAGGCACACGCATTGCGTCGCGCCTGCGCCTGCGCCCCAGAAGGACAAGGAAGTTGCCTTTGATCGCAAGTGCCGGTGAATTTCGCAACCCACAGCTGCCTGCCTGAACTCCATAGCTCTTGCCAATTTGAAGCGGGCTGGGCGTTGGCTGTTATGGCTTTGTCATAACAGTAAGGCGTGACCTCTTGCAAAGCCTTGTCACCACCAGAGAACTCAACCCAAGTTCTTTGATCCTTTCCATTCGTTTCGACGCTCGCTTGAAGATAATCGAGTGTGGCCCTCTTGATGATGCAGCTCTGCAGTCTTGTGTCGACCATCCAACGCGTGGCCATCATCAGCCTCCTGTTGTCGGGTTGCCTCGCCAAGTTTTGCGCCGAATCCAAGAATAATGTCGTTCTCTATTGGGTTCGTTTGATTGTTGAATACTTGTTACACGTTTCTCCTGACGCTTATGATATTCCAGGGCCAAGGTCCCAATCAACTGGACCTGCTCCATTACTGCCAGCAGTCCCATGTCGACGTCATTATCCTTTCCTTCGTACATCTCTTCCCGGCGCAAGCCAATGGTTTCCTGGGCATCAACTTCGGCAATCAATGCGGTCGTGCCGTCTTTCCCGGTCCAGGCTTTCATGGTGTAAACGAGCCGCGCCGTGATGCCCTACTAGCCAACTGCCCTGCCGTCAATGCACAGATTCCCGTCTGTCAACAGACATATGGGAAGAAGATAATACTCTCTGTTGGCGGGGGCATGCTTTCCTACCAACTTACCGGCATCCAAGAAGCTGATCTACTGGCCGATCAGCTCTGGGTCATGTTGGTCCGCGTAATGAGACCCAGTGGCACAAGGCATTCCCCGCCCACTCGACTTCAAGGACCAAGCCGTCGAGGTTGACGGGTTCGACATGGATATTGAGCACCCATCTGAAGGTGGCTGAGCCTGCACCATTCAATCGCGTGAGACTAACACGGTCGTAGATAATTCAGTCGGATATAAAAGATTGGCAACTCGCCTTCGCAGCTACTTCCCCATGGCCACGAAACGATACTTTCTTACCGCATCTCCGCAGTGCATAGTACCAGACGCCAACATGGCCTCAATGATCTCTGCTGCCGCATTTGACATGATTTTTATCCAATTTTACAATACGCCACACTGTTCTGCGGCAAGTTGGGCCAAGGCCAATGTCAATCTCATTCCGGGCATGCCCTCCAACATTGCGGGCTTCACATTCGACGACTAGACATCGTGGCTTTCTGACACGCCAAGCAAGGGTGCGACCATCTACATTACACTTCCCGGCAGCCCTGAAGCGGCAAACCAAGAAAACTACATTTCGCCTTATCAAGCTAGCAACCTCATCAACTCGTTTTACTGCCGATCAAAGTTTGGTGGCATGGCGGTCTGGGAAGCCACTTACTCGGAGAACAACCGCCAACGTGGGTACACCTATCACGCTTCCCTCAAGAAGCACCTAGTCGCCATCGGAAACTATCCTGGGGGTTGCAAGGTGGGTCAACAATAAAATGCTTCTTCACAAGACAGGCTAATGCTTTTGCGTCAGACTCGAGCTGTAGACCCCAGCCCGTCAGCAACTCCAGTCGGCGAGGCTCCAAATTGCGGCCCGAGCAAGGGTGTTTGCTCCGGCGGCGAATGCTGTAGCCAGTACAACTACTGCGGTCTCACAGAAGCTCACTGTGGAAGCGGCTGCCAGGAATTGTTTGGCCACTGCGGCACGCAGCCAGCCGCCATCTCACCTTCCGCCAATGGACAGGGTCTGCCAATCAGTTCCGACGGCAGCTGCGGCGCAGGCAGAGCGACGTGCCGAGGTTACGGAGAGCATCAGTGTTGTAGTCAGTACGGGTATTGCGGCAGTATGACCGAGTACTGTGGGCAAGGCTGCCAGGCTGCTTTTGGAATTTGCGAGTGATGGCGCTCTCCTCTCTTGGGAGGCGTCTCAGTCAAGTCATTTCATAGGCATGACCAGTAACAGATACACGCGAGATCTTGGTATGCATTCAACTTATCTCGAACGAGGCCTACGTTTCCGCTCGCATCAAATCTCACTAAACTGGAAGCCGGGCAGGCGATGGAGACTACGTAAATATTCAACACGCCCTGGGATGACTATTATGTAAATGCAGAAAACGAGTCTAAATACAAATCGGAATACCCGTTTCTTTGTTTGCGTTCCCGCTCACGAGCCTAGGAATTTACGTTTGGCTTCCCTGAACGTTGAGATGATCAACCACGGGGCCGTCTCGGGCGTCTTTGGGGTCTCACATCGTCCCGCTTCACTGTAGGAACGCTCCTAGGTATCTGATCAGACTGGAGGGCTGGAAACCCGAAAATGGACTTGGCTGGATCCCGAACTGGCTCGCTGGACTCCTCCTCGGAATCATTGCCCCAGATCTTCCACCAGCGACGGCGGCGAGGGGTGATCTCGCTCGGTGGATTACCAAAGACTGCAACTGTTAGTGTTGATCCCATCTTGACTGTTCATGAATGATTTGTCGGAGTGCAGAGACGCTATCTCAGGCGGAGGAGATAGTGTCGTGCTTAGAGCAAGAAAAAGGGGGTGTGGGGACAGCTAGGGAGGGTATCACAGTATCACATGCCTTCTCTCATCTCGTCCAATATAGCTTCGTCGACTGCTGCCTTTTGCCGTGGCGTGTCACCCTTGCGGTAGCCAGACACGTCGGCGACAAACTGCCGCTTGGGATCGGCCGTTAAGTGTAGTTCCAGTCCAAGCCCATCCTCTGAAGTATTGACTACGGCTGGTTCTGTATCTTGAACCCCCGTTTGGACAGCCGTCTCGTTTTCTAGAGTTACGCTTGCCTTCACTCCCCGTGTCGTACTCTCTTTTCCTTTTCCCTTGCCCATGTCGTTCTCGTCATACGGCGGCGGCGAGGGGCTGGGCCCTGATGCGCGATTCTTCCTCTGCGTCGCCTCGCTTTGAAGGTGCAGCGGCCACTTGTCAAGGCTGAAGAACTGCTTCTTCTGCTTGTTCCTGCCTCTGACGCCCTCACGGCCAAAGTCCCAGATATCCTCCCTCGCCAGCGTCATCGTCTCTTTGCCAGGCTCCCCTTCCCACCGTGGCCTCACAGGCCAGAGCATGTTGTCACCCTCCGAGAGCTCCTTGATCAGCCCTGTGCGGACAGCCTCGATGGCTTCGGGATGCCACGTGCCACTTGCCCAGTCTTGCCAGTCGTGCGCCGCTCCAGGATCTGCCGCCCTCGCAACGCTGGCGTAGCTGACGGCGCCGACTTCATCAAGCTGTGACGTGACCTCCTGGCGCCAAATACCGTGAAGGTCATCGATCTGGACGCGGTACCGGTCCACCGGGATGCTGAAACCCTGGTCCGCACCTTGAGCCTTAAGTTCTGCGTATGCCGCCTCGACCTCACTCTCTAATATTACGGTCCAGCTGCCGAGACGGTAGGCGAGGGTGCGGTAAGCCAGAGAGACGCGTTCCTCGTGTGATGGGCCAGACGCATCAATAAAAGAGGCGATCAGCGGTAGAGCAGCGACGAGAGCGGCATTCCAGTCGAGGAGGGGTGCCTCTGGCGCCGGCAGCTCCTGTTCTGGCCGCGACGGGAAGAGAGGATTGACATGAATAGGGGGCACGTAAAAGTTGATGCGGAGCTCCGGATGATAAGGCAGCTCGGGGCGGCCGAAAAGGATCGACTTGCCCTTGCCGCTGCGTGACTGCGAGAGTCGACCTGTCGAGACCAAATAATCGCAGTATTCTTCCGCCTCTTCTTTCGAATACAGCGCCTCCTGCAGCGGATTGGTGGCCGCAAAGCCGTTGATCTCATGGCATATCTGCTCAGACGTCCTGTGCTGGCCCGCCCTTGCGAGCAGTGCGTCATTGTAGGGATCGTTGAGCAGTATCTGTAGTCGCTCGTTGAAGAGCTCAAATCGCCAGTCCTCGAAGTTATCCCCGATCTCCTCCATCAGCAGGTCATTTGTTGATGGCCCCACGACAAATCTCATCCAGTGATGGTCATCGGGCGAGATGGGACGATACTCTTCGCCAGCCGGCAGGTCTTTCTTCTGCCGATCGAGCTCGTCTAAGACGTCCTGCGCCGGCTTTCCAACCTCACAGCCCAGGCGAAAATTCTCGGATATATCATCGAGTAGCTTTCGTGGCGCCCTGCGGTTGGCGATCTCAACCTGTGTGATCATGTTGCGGAAACGCGTGGCCTGTGCGTGCTTGATGTCGATGTGACGCGGCACGAGAGTCGGGTTGAACGGACCCATGAAGTTCCAGCTCGGCAAGACAGAGAGCTTGTCGGCAGCGAAGCGTTTGGCGTGGCCCTGTTGCATGCTCGGTATGACGTTGCGCGCGCGCTCCTCGTGGTTCCGCAGCATCTGATCATGCCAGTACACGAACCAAAGGGGTCAATCTTCTCCCCGGCTGGCGGCTCCTTGAGCGCCAGT